CCCCAAAACCCCAAAACCCCAATCCCCTCAAAATCATTAAGATAAAAGAGTTTTATCAATATTATATCAAATTAGTATAAATTTTTGTCAATAATCAATATTTGAGATTTAATTTATTAGAATATTCTACCCAGACATTATTCCATTAATTTTATCTTAGTTTTTATTTGACTCCAATCTCTTAAAAGTTTCATTGTTTAATGAAGAAGAATTTGAATTTTATATTTATGATTAATCATTGAAGGTTCTTCCTTAAATTGATTCAACCATTTATTGTGTTTTTACTTTTTATTTTTTCTTAGTTTTTTTTCTATTAGTATTAAAATCAGGATTAATTGATGTTAAAGTTTAACCATCCTATTGGAAACTAATAAAGCTATCTAGTTCTTGCTTTTAATTATATATTTTAGGCTTGCTAAGGTATTCATAAATTTTTTGCTGTCTTTTAAAGATTGCTTTAAAATCTTCAAGAATCTGGCTATTTATTGGATTTTTATCTTTAAAAAGGCTATTCACATCGTTTTCCTTTGGAAAATCATCTTAATTATTTTGTTTCAATAAGCATGGATTATATTCTATCACATGAAAACTCATTATCTTTGTAAATTTCTTTTAATAATCATTCAACAGCAATTTATACATGATTTTCGTTTGAGTTTTGCTTTTAAAAATTTCAAATAAATCAAATTACTTTCTCAATTTCTTGACTCCTTTCTTGTAAATATTCAGTCATTAATCATTTTTCCCTTTAAAATATTTGATCAACTCTAAAAATCTCAAATACATGAAAGTAACATTGCAACTCTTTCTATTTGATAAGTATGATTGTATTTTTTACTTAAGTTTATGAGGATCTTCTGTATCTAATAGATTTGAATTTGAATTTTGTTAATAACTTGAACAACTTGGAATTGTAAAAAGTTTATTGATTAGCTCCCTTTAGAATGAAGTTGAAGAGTAAATTTGAGCTAAATATCGAGTAATTAGAATAACTATACTACTGAATCCCCCTATTAGACTTAACAAATCTGTCAATGTAAAAACTTATCTTTGGATATATAACTCTTCATTAGAGCAAACAAAAATTAAAGTGAACATTTCAAAACCTCCTTCTTTGACGCTTCCAATAACATATCTCCCAGGCAACGTTTCAAACAGTGTATAGTTCTTATTGTCTAAATATGACGAAAACCAATTATCTTAAGTTTATATTTGCTTTTTAGTAACTTTCAAGTATTAAGCGAAAGACGATTTTCTGTTAATGTTATAAAGATTAACTGAAATTTCATTTTTAAATGGTGGAGCATCAAACTAATCTTACTCAAAATATTGATTTAACTAGGCCACTTAGATTATTACCTTATTTATCAAGTCATCAATCTCTTCATTAGTAGCACAATATTTATCCCTTTGAATATTTGTAATGTCAAGATCAGTAGAATTTTTGCAAGGAACAGCTCTTAATCTAAGGAATGTTCTGGTATTACTGCTTTCCTACCCTATCAACGTAAATTCTGTATTTCTTATACAATTCCAACCTATTTTATCTAAACCCAAACTATTGAATGATTGATTGAGTCCAGCAAATCGACCTATCTTACAAGGCTCATACTATAATGATGTAAAATTTCTCAAAATCTATCTCCTGTTATCAGGCCCAATGTCATAAGTGAATGTGCCTTTTGAAACTTCAAAAATAATGTATCAATCCAAGTTGCCTAATATATCTATTGGGACTTAACCTGTGAGATAATTTATGCCAAAAGCCAAATCGAAATTATTAAGGTTCATCTCATATTTCTACTATTCCTCGTTAGGGCTTATGAATTACTGTCTTACCTAGATTGTCTTCTGCCTATTCTAGATACTTTGACAGAGTACCCCAAAATATATTATGATTGCAAGGCCAGTCGCTAAAGAAAATAGCCCGCCAATATATGTTTGATAGGTAGATTTATTTTTGTAAGTTAGTACAATAGGCTAACCATGAATATCTATATTTGTAAGGAATTTAGAAATAGATAATTTTATTCTTTGTCCTAAATTATTGACCATTGAAATTTGATATTTGGAATTATATAATTTTATACTCTTTTATCTTACTTTTTATTAAAATAATTTTTCATTTTATTTTTGCTTATGGGGTTTTGGGGTTTTGGGGTTTTGGGGTTTTGGGG